GCAATGGCTTCGATGCGGCATGTGTGCAGCTTTACAGCAGCATACGCCATCGATGCAATAGTAAACTCCAGCTTTCCTCTGCAACCTTGGCGAAACTTAGAGCATCTGTACACAATTTTCCTTGAGGACGACCATGCCTTGCAGTACTTATAGCCCTTGTAGAAGCATGTCGTCCGCTCACCACGTCGTGGCACAGACCCCACATCATTTGCGAGTTGCTGTCGAGCTTGCTCGAACAGCAACTCAGTGCTAACGACGTCCTCGACCGGCTCAGCTGGCTCCACTCCGCCATCCTCCGGCGCGCCCTCAGCCGGCTCAGCAGGCTCCACCTCGGCATCCACCGACGCGCCCTCGTTTGCCTCTCGATTCATCTTCTCCACTGACCAACGCACGAGCAGCCTCGAGGCTGAAGAAGTGCGTGAACTTACCAATCATTTTCAGATCCCATGTCAGATCTCCAGTGAGATAAATATCTGATCTAGAATCTGATCGGTTCCGTATACGTACCTTTTCGGAGCTAACCATAACAACGTATGCATTCGTTTGTTGATTCGACCTAAAAAAATGCAACAGTGAATAATAACTGACAACTAATTAACTAACTTCTTTTTTTTACAAATCGCAAATCGGTTCGATAACGTTTTTATAAATCTTTCGATTGATGATATCCATCATCATCGTGCTCATTTTCTCTGATGTTGTTCGTTTGTATAGATCGATGAAGGTTTTAATTGGTATGTCAGTAGGGAAGTCGCGGCATATGATCCCAAGATCTCTCTGTGTTAGGTTTCGACCGAGTATCACATATTGAGAGTTGATTCGAATAGTCTTTGGAATACCAAAGTAGCTCTGTGAAATGTAAATCATTGACCAGCCTTGCTTTCGTCCTCGGATGAAGTACTGTGAGATCTGAGCTTGAGTTCGTTTTGGCTCCATCACTAAGTCATCGAAAATAATCAACTTGCTAGTCTCAGAGTCAAATGCAGTCATTGCACAAACTTGGCCTTCCTCGATCACCTGGACATTATCGCTAGTGTCTTGAAGATGATCGTAGAGAGTTTCATTTGTTTTTGTGCATATTACGACCTTGGTAAAGCATTTGCTCAGAAGCGCTATTATATACAGCACGGTGTTTGACTTCCCCGATCCACTAGGACTTGCAACGCACATTCTAAATGGCAGCTCGAAGTGTGGATTCTTTGGAAACTTCTAAAGTTTAGACTTTGGTATTGATTCGTAGAAGTTTTGCATTGTATAGTATAGTGATCAAATATGTCTCTTCCTCCAATTGTCAATTCTCCTCTATTCAATAGCTCTTACTTTAATGCATCTAACGGATATCTTACTATTACTACAGGCGATCAAAGATACTTGCGGCTTGGTGGTGTTGGAACGTTATCTGCATTGAGCGTGATGGGCAATCTTGATTGCGGTTCTCTGACACTTGGTGGTTCTGCGCTTGATTTGAGTGGATTGTCATATGTTTCAGGTATAACTGCTGAAACCGCTCAAGCTTCAAAGGCTCTGGTATTAGATCCTGGTAAGGCTCACGGGTATCACCTCTATTTCATCTACAAGTATTACTGGAACACTCACTGCTGGGGGGCAACCAAATATTACATCGCTTGGGACTCTAACTAGTATTCTTTCTGTTTCAACAACTGCGAATAACGGAGTATCAATCTCAAATAGTTCTGCTGCTGCCCAAGCCAATATAAAATTTACAAGCAATCTTTATGCTGAAAATTGGAGTTAGAGGTAGTTCAGCAAGCAATCCAAATACAATGTATTTCTACCATAACGGAGCTTTTCGAATGTTCATCGATTCAACTGGAAACGTCGGCATTGGAATTCTACCATCTTATCAATTGGATTTAGGTGGGTCTGGAACTGGAATTAACACTGGATCGCTAAAATTCAATGGAACTACTTTTGATCAATCATTGTACTTGTCGATTATTCAAGGTAGTGCTGCTGCTTCGAAGGCGGTGGTGCTGAATTCAACTCTTGATTATAGTGGAATCAATAATTTAGGATGCTCCATCCTTACTGCTTCAACGAGTATGGCTTCACCTGCTATCACAGTCGATACGATCAATACCTCTGCTGGTCTAAATATTAACTACACGAATTTAAATCTCAACGGATCGGCAATGACATCTACTGCTGCTAAACTCAATTACAACGATATTACAACTCTAAAACAATGACATTGGATAGTTCTGGTGTAGGCTTGATGCCTTTGGGCACGTCGAGTACCAATTGTTTGCGTTTTTACGGAAATACAGCTAATCGTGAAACAATGAACATTTATCGAGTATCTGATACAAATAAATTGGTTATTGCATCGAGAACAACATCAGCATCAAACAACAAAACGTATCCGGTGTTGAACTTAATATCAACTGATAATCCTAGCTCATTCGTAGGCGGCGTTTCAGCTACAAGTGCGGATTTATTCAATATCAATTGGAATAACAAGCCATCCGTGGGTTTTACGTCTCAAACGCATAGATTTTGTTTTAATGTTGGCAATACTCAGCCGTACAAGAGAGGTTTCCCTCATACATACACCCTGGCTACCTCAGCAGATGCGTTTTGTATAAATCCTTCCGGATCATCTCCTACACCGTCAAGTGGTTGTCTTTACCTTGTTTCTGACACTGTTAATAAAATGATATTTAACACCAACACGCCATACACTAGTTCATTTGGGACTGCTCCTCTCACACTAAACTCTGGTAATGTTTATATTAAAGCATCTAATGCACTCAATGATGGAGCTGCTAACTACGATATGCCGATTTTCATGGAATCATCAAATGCAACGCCCATTGGGTTTGGATTACAACTGAGCAACGCTACAAATGCAACCTCGACTAACAGTGCCTATTTCGGAACTACAACTACCAATGATTTGGTTATGATGACTGCAAACACACGAAGGCTTACAATAACCTCGGCTGGTAGAGTTGGTATCGGGGCGGGGGCTCCCTCTGCGTTTTTGCACGTATCAGGATCAAACTCATACACAGTTGGTGTCGGTGGACCATCAAATTGCTATCAATACAACGTGCAAGGAAATATTTGGAGCAATCTTGGTTTAGGCCCAGTCAGTATTACAGTGTCTGCCATCTTTTCATCTTCAATATTTTGCTCGCAATCTATTTACACAAGCTCTGACAGACGACTCAAAGAGAATATTACGCCAATCTCAATTACATTGGAGCATTATGATCAGTTAGAGCCGGTTATCTACTCATGGAAAGGAGAAAGCAAGCCTAAGCTTGGTTTGATCGCACAAGACGCAATGAAAGTGTGTGGAGAAATGGTTAGCGTTATGCCAAACGAAAATATGAAAGTAGAAGGCGACAATGATTTGGAAGGATATCAATACACTCTTGATTACTCACAACTTGGCGCATTGAATGCTGCTGCTATCAAACTTCTAATTAA